GAGCATTGACCTAAGAACCAGGAGGTCACGGTTGGATTCCCGTCAGGGCACATGCCCCTGTTGCGGGCTCGGATCCCCAGTGTGGGGCGTCCAGGAGGCAGCTGATCAATGATTCTCTCTCATCACTGATGTTTTTATCTCTCTCTCCCTCTCCCTTCCTCTCTAAAATCAATAAAACTACATTTAAAGTTTTCCTGAGATATCACATCCACAAGAAGCCTTCCCTGTTTTCTATCCCAGTTGGCTCTGCTCATTCAATAAATATTTGAGCGCCTACCATGTGTCCCCCACTGTTCTAGGCTCTGAATAAGGCAGAGTCCTCTGTCACAGAGCTCCGTGTAGTTGGGGCACAGACAACATACTAGGGAGCCATCGAGGTGCCCCTGGGGGAGGGACAAGATGACAGCTGTGTTTCGGGAATATCTCAGGCTGCTGTCTGGGAGGGGGGGTCAGAGAGGGCAAGAATGGCAGCCAGGAGACCAGGGAGGTGACTGGGGAAGGGACTCAGGGGAGAGAGGTCCAAGCTGGAGGAGGGCAGAGCTGTGGAAACGGGAGAAGAGGGCATATTGGAGTAGAGATGGAAAAGTAAAACCTGGCAACTGACAGGCTGTGGGGAACGAAGAGGAAGGACTACGCTACACTGAATGCTCCCTGAGGGCAGGAACCCTGCCTCCCACTCCCTAGCGACTGCACTGCCAGCTAGACACTGCATATCCCACCTCCTTAGGGTGAGGAATAGGAGGGTGACTACAGAGGAAAGAGTGAAAAAACAAAATGGACTCACCATAGCCAAGCTAACAAAATCACTTAAATTAGAATGGGCTGAAACGTGAGGAATAGATTTATTTTACTTTAGCTAGCCTGAGGACTTAACTTTTTAACTTTTCAGCTGTGCAACAATGCCTAGAAATAGATATAAATCCTATAGATAACCTTCCAAAGAATTTAGGAAAGAATGTTCATGAGAAGAACTTAGGGGGAAAATGTTCATGTGTCCAGACACCTGACACCTGGCAGGTCACCCTCTCAGACCAATCCAGAAGCTAGGAATGCAGGACTGATTCTTCTCAAGAATGCACTTTTTACTCAACTTTCCTCTTTCCTTTGGAACACTCTGGGTCCTAGTAGTGTTGCCAGAATTGCAAATCTTAAGATCCTTGAATAAAACTTTGTCATTTAATTTTAACAAGGCCTCCTGATTCCTTTACACTCAGGTGACACTAACGATGGGAGGGGAGGGGAAGGATGTGTGCAACTGCTGCCTCCCTTGCTTACAAAGAGACGGTTGGGAGTCTCTTGCTCATTTCTTAAATAACTGCTTTAGTATGAGCTACACATATTATAAAATTCACTCTTTTAAAGTGTAAATTTAAAGTGTGGCTTTTAGTCTAGTCACAGAGTTGTGCAACCATCAGCACTGTCTAATATCAGAATATTTTCAACACCCCAAGAAGAGACCCTGTAACCATCAGCAGTCACTCCCCATTCACTCTTCTCTCAGCCCTAGGTACCACTAATATATTTTCTCTGTTCTGGACATGTTATATACATGGAACCACACAATAGATGGTCTTTATGTGTCTGGCTTCTTTTACTTAGCATAATGTTTTCAAGGTTTATTGATGTTGTCACATGTATCAGTACTTTATTGCTTTTTCTGGCCAAATAATATTACATGTGTAGATATACTACATTTTACTTATCTATTCATCAGTTAAGGGACATTCGGGTTGTTCCCACTTTTTGGTGATTATGAATAATGCTGCTATGAACATTCAGGTGCAAGTTTTTCTGTGGGCACGTTTTCAGTTTATCTTGAGTATATACCTGGGAGTGGAACGGCTTGATAATCTATCTTTACTCTTTTGAGGAACTGCCAAACTATTTTTCAAAGTGGCTGCACCATTATACATTCCCACCAGCAATGTATGGGGGTTCCAATTTCCTCACATCCTCGTCACCGCTTGTTATTTCCTAGGTATTATTATTATTGCCATCCTAGTGGGTATAAAATGGTGTCTCGATATGGTTTTGATTTGCACTTCCCTAATGATTAATGATGCTGAGCATCTTTTCACATGCTTATTGGCCAATTGTATTTCTTTGGAGAAATATCTATGCAAAGCTTTGCCCATTTTTAATTGTGTTATTTGTCTTTTTATCATCTGTACTCCCTTTGCTACTTTCTGTGAACCTATAATTATTTCATCATTTGAAGTTTTATCAAAAAAAGAACCTGCTGCCTGCCCTTCATTCCTCGTCCCCTGATTCCCACAGGCTTGAACACCGAGGTCCAGAGAGCACAGGGTGGAAGAAAGAACCTGGAACCCACATTGACTGCTTGGAACAGCGCCTCTCTGCCAGCAAGGCTGCTCGTCGGGGGACTATGCAGGAGGGAGAAATGAGCTGCTAACTCCTTTAAGCCACTGTATTGCTTGGGTCTCTTTGTTACAGCAGCTTAGCCTATACAGATATTATTCGCATTTTGTTACCAAGTAATTTAGTAGTCACACTTTTAAGATCACATATGAGGAAGTGATGACAGAAAAAGACGAAGAGTTGGATGTTTGGTTATTCTGCTTTTGAACGCTGATGCCCAGGCCCACAGCAGATTTGGCCAATGCTGATGCCAAAACGGAACTTCAGTGCATCCCAGAGTGGTGCCAGAATGAGGAAACTGGATTCGGCCCTGCCGCCAGGAGATGACCAGCTGTGTGGCTGCCAGAGGTCATCTCCTCTTCGGGCCTCCATATTCCCATTTGCAAATGAGGGATTTGGAATAGATCAACGTTCCTTCAGTGGGTCCTGGGGGACGCTGGGTGTTTGGGGACTCATGCTTGGAGGACAAGGACCCAAGAGAACATTTTTTATTTTGTCATTTCACTTGATGAAATGACAAAATAAAGAAAATTAATAGGAACACATCCTGGACCACCCGGATGGTGACTTCATAAAGGACCATGCAGTGAGAGTTCGATTTTTGTGATTACAATCTTATTAGCATGGAGCTGAGCTGACATGTCCAGAACCGAAATGCCCAGGGGACCAGGCAGGTCTGAAATGGGAAAACGAGGCCCTCCTCACAGGCTCAGCGCCCACGTGGGCCCTTGTCTGAAGTCTTGAAGATGGTGGCCCAGTGCTGCCATATCATGTGACATCATGAGGAGCCAAACATCTGTATTTTTTAAAGACAAAAACTCCCTGTTTTTTAAATGTTGCAACTGATTTACGTTTTTATAAAACACAGTAAGGGTGAAACCAAACATGTCCCCGAGTGCACTTCCAACCTATGATGACACGGAGTGTTTGCCATCGGTGAGTGTGTCTTCCGTGGCCCTTCCAGTGCCCCCACCACTTTTCCGCACCTGCTCTGTGTGGACTGTGACTGGGCTCCCAGCCCTCGAAGGCCTCAGACTCTCTGTTGGGTTTAGACAGCAGATGAGAGGAGAGAAGAAAGGCCTCCCTGAATGACCAGCTTCTGGCAGTACCTGGCTCCTCTCCTGCATCCCCTGCTCCTACTGGGAGGCCTCTTTCCCATCTCACCACTGCCTGCCTGGCCATGACCAGCTTCTGGCAGTACCTGCATCCCCTGCTCCTACTGGGGAGGCCTCTTTCCCATCTCACCACTGCCTGCCTGGCCCCAGCCCCTGGGGGTCTCCACTGCCCACCCCTCTGTAAATGGCCCTTCGTTAAACTCTCCTCTGTTTTATCCCTTTGAGGGGACCACTGGCTTCCTGCCAGGATCTAGCTGGCACAGGTACCTTTGGGCTGTCAAGACTCTGAGCCAAATCACAATTGTCCTACCTCTGCCATGTGCTCATACTGAGTTATCATTCATATGCTCTTCTCCACTGTGGCAATCACCAATCACAAGTGAGATACATTTCCTTAGAATGAGACTTTAATTTATTCATATCTTTAATACATTGACACTTCCATGGAGCAGAGGGAGAACTCCTTTATCCATTACTGGTTAAGGAGAAAGGATACAGAGAGATTTAATATGTAAGTGGTATGTTTTGATATTAGTCTGGGAATAGTTAGGAAGCTGGAGAATACCATGAATATTGGTGGAAATATGGAATATCATAATCCTCATGCCTGCTGGTGCGAGTTATAGACTGGGGCATCCATTCTGAAAACAACCAGACCAATTAAACAAGTGTACACCCCCATGACCCAGCAATTCTTTCCCCTATGTGTCCCCAAAACTTTTTCACACTGGTTCACAGCATATAGAAGGATGTTCAGTGAGGTGCTATGTGGGGATGGGGTGGCAAGGAGCTGGGTCAGGGTTGGAGACCGCCTGGTTGTCCATCACTGGGAAGGGATGGGTCAAATATGATGAATACACACCCAGGACTCCATGCACCAGTGAGAAGCAACAGATTAGATGTACGCAGAGCCACATGGATGCGTCTTAAGACATTGCTGAATGAGGAAATCATGCAAAAAAATGCAATCTAGAATATGACAAAACTTGTATCAGTCAGCAACACCTGCAGCCACAAACCCATACATATGGGGCTCCCAGGTTTACGACAAAGTGACATTGACG